CTTATGTAAGAGTTAACAATCGAAAGTTGACATTCCTATATAGCGTGTCATACACTTACTCTCAAAACCTGCGGCTGCAGGTTCCTACACCTGCTGCTGCACGTACCTACACCTGCTGCTGCAGGTTCCTACACCTGCTGCTACAGGTTCCCACACATGATGCTGCAGGTTCCTACACCTGCTGCTGCAGGTTACCACACATGATGCTGCAGGTTCCTACACCTGCTGCTGCAGGTTACCACACATGATGCTGCAGGTTCCTACACCTGCTGCTGCAGGTTACCACACATGATGCTGCAGGTTCCTACACCTGCTGCTACAGGTTCCTACACCTGCCGCAGCAGGTTCCTACTCTGCTACAGGTTCGTACACCTGCTACAGGTTCCTACACCTGCTGCAGGTTCCTACACCTGCTGCAGGTGCTGCTGTGGCGTAGTCCAGAATCGACGTCAGTAGATTTCACACAAATGGAAGCAATCTACCGTAATTTCATAAGTACTAAATTTTTAAACCAAGTTTTCGCAGGGTAGAAAAACAATAGATCTAAAGAAGACGCTAATTAACGAGAGAAGTCACACGTGTGTTTCTTAACAGTTAATATTGCAGAGTTCAGAAGACGATCTGTAATAATGCAACAGCCACGCTCGCGCGCAGTGCTCGGTATTGATTTATAAGGCCTCGATTCGAGGACCACTTTAACTCCTCGAAGTTGCTCTGTACTCGGAGAAAAATGTCACATACTTACTCAATAAATAATGTCACCCGTTTGCTTGAATCGGAAATTCACTAAAAACTTGCAAAGAAATTCCACAAAGATTCATACTATCTTAGTAGCAAAAATTTCGGAGTGCAGCTCCATCGTCAGTTCGAAAATTATGGAACATAGATAAATCAGTAATGAGTACAGTCAAGATAACTCGAGAAGCAATTCATTTCTACTATATTTCTATCCATTATTTGGCCATATTTACTACCATGCATTTGAGCAATAATCAATCGACTAAAGTGAGTCAGGACGACTCATTTCGTTGAGGGCAAGGCCAGGCTTTGAAAACCTCTTTCGACGGTAATAAATTCACAAGGATCATAAACTTAAGTTCCACGTTATTGACTAGCTAGTTAAATCAATAGCGGAAAATTATTATTCGGCCAATTAATTGAGTCAATTCGCACACAATTACTGAAACTTTATAGCGTCGGGATACGCTTTGAATGTCCACCAATTTTATTTTCTCGGCATTTTCTCCAATGCAAATTTACCAATTAATAATTTTAGTTTTTTCTTTTAGTACAATGAGCCTTTTCAGTTCCTAATTCAGTTCAGAGGGGTAAGGTATATGCTTCCTGTGATTCAGTTGAGTTCTGGATTCATTTCTATTGCTGAATCAGTTGTATTCAACTCAGCCTGTCACTTCAATGAACTGATTCAGTTCCATCATCCATTCAATTCAAGACAAAATGCATCGCATAATTTCAGTCGTCACTAACACCACTCACGAATAAAAGCAAAAAACCAAAACACTAGCTCTACAACTCCCAAACTAATGGATTATTCATACGGAACAATTTTAATGTTTAAATCATGCATGATTCTTCCATGAATACCTCATCTGACTCCGCTTATACTCAGCTTGCTTTGAATGATACATGACTGCCTGAGAATATTGAGCCTTCTGTTTCTGCAGCAAGGATTCGTTGGGTGCAGGGTCATGCACGACATGAATCGTTGGGTGCAGGGTCGTTCACAAGAATCGTTGGGTGCAGGGTCGTGCACGACAGGAATCGTTGGGTGCAGGGTCGTGCACGACATGAATCGTTGGGTGCAGGGTCGTTCACAAGAATCGTTGGGTGCAGGGTCGTGCACGACAGGAATCGTTGGGTGCAGGGTCGTGCACGACATGANTCTGTCTCTTATACACATCTAGATGTGTATAAGAGACAGGTGCAGGGTCATGCACGACAGGAATCGTTGGGTGCAGGGTCGTGCACGACAGGAATCGTTGGCTGCAGGGTCGTGCACGACAGGAATCGCTTCGTAAATTGCAAATTCGTTCGTTCGATCTTCATGATTCATGGATGAGACAAGAAGTCTCTATTATGCTGCATGTGAGTAATGCAACGAGAAGATTATGCTGAAAAGTTTATTGATCACAATGATGGTAGGGAATCTGCCACTCGAACACGTCATATTTCAGTCTGGGCCCAAGGCGTTCATGGAAAAAAATATTGTATCGTGAAGGAATTGCCTTGATATGACATTATTGGATTTCGAATGCAACCATCGACCCTTGTTAATATCACTTCACCAATCAGTTAAGATTAAAGGGGTGAGTGTGAGAGGGAGTATGAGGGGAGCGTGTGAGGGAGAGTGTGAGGAGGAGTGTGAGGAGGAGTGCGAGGAGAAGTGTGGAGGGGGAGTGTGAGGAGTGAGTGTAAAAGAAGAGTGTGAGGGGAGTGTGAGAGAAGAATGTGAGGAATGAGTGTGTGGAGAGAGTGTGAGGAGTGAGTGTGAGGAGTGAGTGTGAGAGGAGAGTGTGACTGTAATAACAGTTAACTCATCAGGAACCCACGTCATTCGGTACCAGGGCGATTACTCATCAGCGAAGACTCATCGACTACATATTACTCTTACAGGTCTGGCAGTCCAGCTTGCGTCAACAGCCTGACATCACAAAAACTTTATTGTTCTGAGCAAAATGTATACGATTTGATTGTTTCTTCTTTATTTTTTTAAAGGAATTTTCATTAATGACAACGGTTCCCAGTAGTATATGTATTGGCTTGCCGATAGTTTTTGTACCGGCTTCAAAAATTTTCTGGTACATGCCGGAAAGGAGGTATCGGAGTCAATTTTTAAGTACCTATACACAGTATTGGTATTTCTGAGGATGCAACTTTCCGGTGATGGTGTCATTATCAGCTTGGAGATGATATTGATAGTGGTAGAAAGTATGGGTTACAAGTCAACAGTGATAGTGGGTTATAAGTATCCTATGTCATTTAATCGAATGTAATTCACTCAGAACTATGAAGACGATGCGATAGTTTGTCTGCTTTTGGACATAGCGATGCGATCTGTTGCTACTTCGTTGCTAAGTATAAGTATATCGTGGTTTGAAAATATTAGTAATAAATTATAAATTTTGGAAATTATTTGGATTGAGCTAAATGTAATTTAGCACTGACAGAAATCCTATGACTTTGATTTGTTACTAGCGCGAAAAATGTCGTCATTGAACGCGTAAGGTTATATGCAGCAAGTGCTTATGGCAGGCTTGTGCTCCTAGAGTTCTGCTCGTTATTTTGGATTGGTTAAATAGACGGTTCGTTTCATAATAAATTTAAAAAAGGTCATACAATAGCTTGGTGAAATGACATGGCTTCACCAAAAATCTAGATGTGTTACCCAAATGCTCAAAATAAATGCATATTAAGCATGAAACGTTGAGAATAATTCGAGTTTTTTTTAGTTATCGAAGCGGTTTTTTTACCAGAAAATTCTCCATAATGAGAAATTTTCATACCGTGAACAATGCTGGCTTACCAATAATAGACCCAACGGAACTTATTGTAAAAATTAAAGAACTATGTTACTTCATATTACCATTGCTGTTATATTTTTGTTTGTGATGCAGTCACGATCCTGGAAGGGTAATGTCACGTCTAGGATAACGCGAAGCCTATAAAGATTTTTCTGTCCAGGAAGGTGATTCGTTACCTCGTAGACGTCATTCAATTGATCCATAAATATGAGGTCACGATTGTGATAATTGCTGCCCATGTCGTCGAGCCGTGGAGCGCAGCCTTGGTGCACCAGAGATAAATTTGTGCCATGGCAATTTGGGCTCATGTTATGGAACCCAATAAAGATTTTTTTCATGTATCGGGTTTGGTTGTTTAATTAAATTTTACCTTTAATCAATTTCAGATGGTAATTAATGAATCAGAATGTACGAATATATTTCCTAAATTTGTCTGGTAAAAATTGAATTGTATTTAAAATGTGCCGAAAATAGTTACAGATGAAGTTAGTTAAACAATAGTAATTGACTAATTGTTTACCCAATTAGCCAATTACGTTTCTCCCTTAAACCCCATTGATCGGATAACGAACTTTTCTTTGGTCATTGACTCGTACTGTAGGTTTTTGTGGCGGTTTCTTGGGACATGAGACCAGTTTGGTCGTCCTAAATAAGCCTTGACGTCGTCCAGCATCTGGCAGCCATTCAACCGACTAACGAACACACGCAAGCAACTCAAAGTTCTTACCTTTATGCGACTGGTACGCACGAATAACGAACATACGCAAGCAACTCTAAGTTCTTACCTTCATGCGACTGGTACGCATGACTAAAGAACACACACAAGCAACTCTAAAGTTCTTACCTTTGCGTTCTTACCTTACTGGAACGCACGACTAACGAACACACGCAAGCAACTCTAAAGTTCTTTCTTACCTTCATGCGACTGGCACGCACGACTAACGAACATACGCAAGCAACTCTAAGTTCTTACCTTCATGCGACTGGCACGCACGACTAACGAACACACGCAAGCAACTCTAAGTTCTTACTTTTATGGACTGGAACGCACGACTAACGAACACACGCAAGCAACTCTAAGTTCTTACCTTCATGCGACTGGTACGCACGACTAACGAACACACGCAAGCAACTCTAAGTTCTTACCTTTGGCTTTATGCGACTGGTACGCACGACTAACGAACACACGCAAGCAACTCTAGTTTTGCCTTCATGAGACTGGTACGCACGACTAACGAACTAAGTTCTTACCTTCTTGCGACTGGTACGATGACTATAAACGAACACACGCAAGCAACTCTAAGTTCTTTCCTTCATGCGACTGGTACGCACGAATAACGAACATACGCAAGCATTTCTAAGTTCTTACCTTCAAGCGACTGACGCACAAATAAGACACTCGGAACTTCCAGGGAGCGTTCCACGTACACGTACAGGTTCAGTCAGTGTGTTGGAGAACGTCGTGCGGTGAAGTGTGTGACGATCTGAAGTGTGCAGTGCCGCAGGCCTCAACTGTTCCCAACAAGCTGTCAATAATAGAGAATTCGTGAAAAAGCTTTATGTAAAACATGTTTGAATAGTGTTTTCCTACAGCTTCCAGAAATCCTTCTACTCTACTTCATCAGGTAAATATTCCCGAACTGCCAAATATCTCCGGCATTGCTGGCTCCCGACAGGCTCCATGCTGAACTACCGCTTTCAAATTGACAAAAAATACCCCATTATTCGTGGATTTCTCTTACACAGCCTCAAATCATTTAAGTTATTTCAAAATTGTACTATTAAATAATTTTATTGGAAATTTTGGTGTAGTTCACGTTATTTTTATTCGAACATTTACGATAGCTATTCGGACCGTGGCTCAGTATCGGCACAGGGAAGCGTTGAAATTTCTGAAGGTGACGTAGCCGCCTAAGCTTACGGACAAGAAGGACTTATGATCCGCGGCTCACTGGTCATATTGCCGCAGCTATTTTCAGCTGCGGGACTTTTCTACTTATCTCAATTGTTTCGCTTTTGTTACCTCTTCAGACCCTGAAAGCGAAATACTGAAGTACAGGGTTACGCTAAATGCAGATAAGGAGTAACAATTATGCTTGGAAGAATATAAACGCGTTTTATTAATCAATGTGAAAACATCAAATAACAATTAATGTTCTTATAATTTCTAAGCTTGAATCTTCTGACCAATCAAAATCCCGATCATCAATTATACTCGCCTGCCGCGCTACTCATGCCCGAACATTCATCGTGTACACTGGGTCCTGATGAGAATGCCGCTAGTGAGCTCTGGGCAGCGTGCGACCTTGATTCTAGCCTCCAAGAATGTCGTCGTACGGGAACGCACGTATTGTATGAACGCATGGGTGCGGAGTGCGTACGCACAAAAAATGTAGAAACAAACCCCACGCCCGCCCAAAAAAAGGGTATGTAAAATTATTTTAAAAACTTTTTCGTTTAACTTTGACTTTTCCCTATTAATTGTATTTGGTCTCCGGAACATTTTCGATGAAGTTATGATGAATTTGCTTGGTGTTTTTTTTCGCTTTCAAATTATTAATGAACTAGCCATTTCAGTTGACTAACCATTTTTTTCGCTTTAAAATTCTAGGTGAACTTGCCATTTCAGTTGAATAATCATATAAATAACTTCCGGCAAGCGCAAGAGTTATGTCACGAATATTTGTCTCGTTATGTCACGAATGAGAACGAACATACGTTACCCGCATAAATAAAAAAGAATAAATTATGATAAAAATAATAAAAATTCCGCAATGATTGCAATAAATGCCCCTGTGGGCTGTGGTTCATACAGTAATTGATATATTCCTAAACCCTTATGTTATTTTCAAATTCCCTAATGATATTAAAACGATCATCGGTTCCAAATAGTATCGCTTGCATGAATGAACGAATGACGCTACGCATGTCAAGCTTAAAATTCCCATTCCATTTATTAAAACTTGAGATCTTCACGCGTGTTCTGCCAAGACGCGTGTGCTGCCAAGACGCGTGTGCTGCCAAGACGCGTGTGCTGCCAAGACGCGTGTGCTGCCAAGACGCGTGTGCTGCCAAGACGCGTGTGCTGCCAAGATGCTGTCAAGCGTGCATGCTGTTAAGTGCTGATGATCGTGAATGGCAGGCGAAGGAAGGTTCATCCTCGCTGCATCCTCCACCGCTCCTATCATGGAAGCATCCTTCTGACGCGGAAGGCTGTTACCTTCCCCTTACTCCGACCCCTCCAGGTTATATATTACAAGTTGTGGCCGTTTTTTGCACAAACTTGTGAAAAAAATCTTCCAAGACGAGATTTGAGTTTTTTCCTGAATAAAATTAGTTTCGTGCTTTTGCTGCACTCAAGCAGAAGAATTTGGATTCTGTCCCTTTCATAAAAAGATTAAAAGGCATCTCTGACCATAGTACTAATAGAAATAGAATAGAAATTTCGACTTACTTATTATTGTTATGATTAAAATATGCGAGTATAGCATTATAATTTAAGTATAAGATTGGAGTATCTTCCCTTTGAGGTCCTCTTAGCAATATTGTTTGAACACAACACGCGTGGTCATACTATCATATCTGTGGTCATACTATCATAAATAGTTGGTAGTTTAAAACTCCATTAGTCAAACACCGACGGCTTTTCAAGCTAAATCCAGCATCACAGACGAGAAGCCGGCCGCTATTACGTGCCCTGAAGCGACTTTTGATGGTTCGCTCCCCTATACACATTGGACCAGCCTGCGGCCTTCATACCCAGCCCTCGATCGAGGACGTGATGGTTGCTTGCCAAATCTGGCTTGGTGCGAAGGAGTCAGGATTTTGTCAAGGTTGAGATGACGATCTTGAGACTGACTTGCAAATTACTCTTTATATTCATTGCCTTTCGTAAAAAATCTTGAAGGATAATCTGTAATTTTAATATCATGCTTCTAGTAATTTTCATCCAAATCAAACATTTAATTGCGACCAAAATTGTTCGATTTTGCCTTCTGCAGGAAATATGTATATATCATCTCAGATTCATATTTTTTATCAACTCCCTAAAATCAGTTTATATCATAGCTTTTCCTGATGGAATATGTATTAATTTTTCAATTTGAATGTATAGTCATTTGCTCATAGTTTGCGTACATAGAAATGCTAGCATTTAGAGATGTAGCTGCGCCGAATTTAGACGTAGCTTTGCCGCCCAGCTGCGCCTCGAAAGAGTGTTTATTTCTGCTACGCTGCAGGTGTTTTTGCGGCTGTCTATGTACTGACTATGTATTGTTAGATAGACCTCAATGCAGCTTATTCAGGTGGATCTAAAATAAGCCCGAAGATAAACTTGAAAACTGAGGAATTATTAATTTTCGATCAAACAGCTTTTTTGGTTGATGTTTACATGTTTACTTCCTCCAAGATGATTTTTGATTAGTTGGTTCTCCATATTAAGTAACAGAACGCTTAACTTAGTTGTAAATTTTAATTAATTTTCCTTATTCCTTCCGTAGTTGGCAGTGTAACCCCTGCTCCATTTTGGCAATGCCGATAAAAAGTATACTTCAAGCTCGTAGATTCAGTATCGTTCCACGGCAGGTTCATTGTTAGATACTTCGATTTAATACGCCGTATGTAACTGTTCATATATGTAGGTATTGATCTTACCTAATTCCACGCTGCTAACTCATGTTACCGTCAGTAGACAATGATACGAAAAACATCATTCAAAATTAACCTTCGTGAAATCACGCTTAAGGAGAAATAGCCTGCGTCCTATTCCTGCCAAATTTCCAGATTAATTTTTTGAATCACAAGCTTCTTGAAACCTACAATAATTGTAGGTTTCGAATCACAAGCTTCTTGAAACCTACAATTAAAGGGAAACTTTAGTAATAAATGTTCAACCCCATCACTAATTTAGTCTTAAATTTTCCGGCTCGCATCTGTGATAAGAAAACTTTCCCGTATACATGTAATACGAAAACTTCTGGTATCTATGATACAAAAATTTCCCGGTATCTGTGATTACAGAAATTTTTTACGTGTACGTACCCGGTGAAGTTGCAGGATTTCCGTTGATGTTCCAGGAATGATGCGGTGCATGACGTGGCGGCAAAGCTGCATTATTAAACTGGTAACGCTGATCGTACGTTTCGTAATGCTTGTGCATCCGCGTTGCACGGTGACGGCGGAGATGGCTTGGAAGTTGAACGGGAAACGTTGGATGAATGTACAGCATTGGTAAAGCATACATTCGGATGAATGTACAGCATTGAAGCACTAACAACTACTCTAAATTGAAAAAATATGATTTCGTCCTCACGCATTTTAATTAAGAGCTAAAACTTGGCTTTGCGAGCCAACATTTACTGTTGAATTAATAATCGCCCTAAATTTTGATGGGAAATTGCTAATAAATACCATTCAGATTATTTGTTCAATCAATATATACTGCTGACGAATAGTTATCATTCATTCATTGAATGTTATAATGTCGTTTAACTATGTCAGCTAAAAGAGCCAACTCATAACGCTTGTTGATAACAGGTAATGATGTCTTTTTATTATGCTTAATTATTAATAAGATCTTTTTAGCGCATTTTCTCATTTATGGAAAAAAGGCGCTATTGTGCTCGTCATGTACGTCCGTCTGTCTGTCCGTGACTTCACGTTTTCGTCGACGAGAAAATGCGCTCTCTGTCACTCACTGCAGTGAGTACTGAGTTATATTTTTTAACTATGAGCAAAGCCCGTGCAGTGCAGCTGGCGCTCGTTTATGAAGCTCTTGGAATGTTTAACAAATATCAAGCGTTGCGCAAGTTGTCGTCCGTATTTAGTCACTTCCAGAATGTAGTAAAACAATGGTGCTTGCTTGCCAAGTATTTTTGTTCTATCAAGGCAAGCATCTTGCTCTTTGTATAGCTTTTCTGAACTACTTGTATGTTTCTTTCTATTAGTGCATAAAAGATGGAGCTCTTTTATACCGTAATGTGAGTTGCATCGCTAATGGATCTCTACATCTTGAAGGTAAATACACTAGCAATGAATAATTGTCTCTGCAGAATACTTGCAGTAAGAATATGAAGCTATCGATATATACTGGATCGTCAAATTCGCAACATTATAAGTTTGTAACTAATGATGGTTCAATTTTTGCGTGTACGATTATAATTATTCGCACTGGACCGGATGGCATATCCAATGACGTTTATAAGCCGAAACAAAATATTTATTCGATGTATCAATAAGTTAGGCGTTGCGAGGTGAGGCTGGTGTTAATTCGACACCATCACCTTGTATGGAATACCATATATACGTTTTTTAGATTTTTGGGCGTGGTAAATCCTTGAAATTATTGTCATTTAATGTCAATTCTCGTCATGATTATCCTTACGCTAGAGTATTTACATAATTTTGATCGCCTTACTACATGCCGTTAAGAAAAATGTCGACGAGGCAAGCTCGTTTCTGTTAATTATTGTTGTTAAGCGACATTGGTTTTATTTGGGAAGCTACACCCCGATTTGTAAGGTGGGATCCGGTTGTAGCGCGGAAGGGGGGGGGTTGGGGAGGGGGTTAGGCTTGTGTTCCCAACCGCGTAACCTGGAGTTTGGATTGCAGCACGGAGATAAGTTGT